TCTAAATAGATAATTAGTCTCATACCTCCGAAAGATTCCAAGTCGTTGATCCTTTAGACGAGCAGATACTTCCTCAAGAGTCGCAATAAGCTTGGGAGGCTGTGTAGTTAAGAGCTTTCCATCATCATTTATGACATTTAAGAAATCGACAAATTCTTTTGTTGATAAGACTAGATCGACATCAGGCTCGGATGTTGAACCGTCAGGAAGAGTGCAGGAGAATTCAGAACGTGATGCTTCCAGTTTTTTGTCAAAGCATGGCATTATGGCTACGTGGTATATGTCGCCAGCAGATACATCGGCTATTACTTGCTTCAAAATAAAGCCGACTGTCTGTTGAGGAGAGCGCACCGGAGATAGGTGCTTTACAAGACTAAAAGCGTTTGGTTCATGGCCAGCCACATCACTGAAATTTCCATTTGTCTTCTCAGCATAGCATATCCATCCTAAGGTTTAATATAAATTAATAAATACTTTGCCGGAAAGCTTTTGCAGTTATAAATGACTAACCGGGACAGCTTGAAGAAAACAAAGGAAGAGGTAATTCGGTGTTAGAATTGGCATTAAAACGATCGCAAAATGCATTGATTTCCTCTTTCAAAACCACATCTCTACACCATGTGGTATCCAATACGAAATGAAAGCCAGCTTTTTGGGACAAATAAGTGATAAGAATGCGTGTTTTTGTAAAAATTTCGCGATCAGTCGAGCCAGAGTCAATGAATTTGGACAAGAATGGAATATCGTCCAAATTTGAGGCGATACTTGACAGCGATTGAGGTGATAATGATAGTATTAATATTCTGGGATTTTCAGTCTGAAAAATGTTATATAAGTTTGAGAAAAATACTTTACTGTTAAATTGTAAGGTGTCCAAAAGAATGTGTGTACTGTGCTGGGACACCAGTATAGCCTCAGCAGTAGTAATGCAACCGCTGCAAGCCAAACAATCATTAAGACTAATTTCGACTCTTTTTAATGTCCGTTCGTTGCCGTCCTGAAGAGTGCTTCTTTAGTTTCAAAAAACCTACTTCCATCGTGGCAATATATGAACCATCTTCAGATATTTTAATAGACTTAGTACTTCCGCTCTCATT